ATAGTATTTGACTTAAAGGATTATAGCATTCTTCCACATTATCCTTTTTTTTTGTGAATTCAACATTGATGAAAGTTGGAGGGTTATAGACTTTGAATTCATCTTAATCAAGATGAGACATACAGCATGAAAAAAGAAAGTTTTAAATACACTGCTCTGCCAAGATATTATAATTTCTGTTTCATGTGAAATCTTGAGACTTAACATTTTCTGTGTAGTAGAGAAGCCAGAGGGTATTTATTGCATTTGTGAACATGTATGTGAACACAGACATAATCCCATAAAATGGAAATTCAGCTCCCCGGGTTTGGCAGGTACTGAATCTGCTTTGTACAATTATCGTGTTGAATAAAATAAGTTAAAAGTGCAATCAGAAAGTTACGACTTTCCCAACTGCAATTTATAGACATTGTAGTTACTTGCACATGTAGGGACAGGAGGAGGTGAACTGAAGGCCAGACTAAGATTTAGATCTAAACCTTGAATTCCACTGCGTACATGAACCAGGTGTAACCAATTCATCCCCCTGGCATGGCAATCGGTAAATGCCAAATTCCAATAAAACACGAATAGCAAATGAGGGCTATAGTACGTAGTAAAATCTCCAGTTGCTGGAGGCAATACATTTGGTTTCCCACCCTGAGAAAGACCAGAGGATTTTGTAAGAAAGACTATCTAATGCTAATTTCCCTAGATGCTAGCAAGTTGAATTTCAGCCGAGATCAGCACATTTGCAAACTCATGGTGGCTAATGTAAAGACTGGGAATTGAAAAGAAATGGACAGTGCTTGTCCTCAATACACCACCACAGTTTTTTGAGGTAGGGTGTATTTTCCTGTCATTTGGAAAGGGTTAGTAGGGAAATCGATGCCACCTTTTAGAACTCACCTGCCTAATGATGGCTCTCGCAGGAGCTGACATTTGCTATAATCAGTGTAACAGCTGAACAGCAGTGATGAGTTCCAAGAAAAGAAAACACGCCTATGTTTCCTCTCCGATCTTGTCTGACCAAACAGAGAAGCCTCTGGCTGAAACCTTGAAATATTCTATTCTTTGTGCCTCTCTGCTATGAGGACTTTATCATTTTTCCCCTGGAATTATGGAAATTTTGTCCACAACATAGTACTATTTTTAGGGCATATTTAAAATACTCATTATGTTTTCAATACCAAATTATTTATTTTTTTTTTCTCAACTACTTGCTGATATCCTCTTAGATGGTACTATATGTAGCCCATCCATCTAGTACCAATATAAAAACACAACCAATTTTCTAATTTTGTTACTACCTTCAAGTGTTCTTTTCATCACTGTCAGCTCAGAAAGAGGGAACCTTATTTCCCTCTTCTCCCACAATCTTCTTCAACAATATTTTGTGTGTGTGGTCCTCTTCCAGCACTTTTTGCATCATCTTTCCACCACTATTAAACATATTAACACCATTCTCAGAACTTTTTATTGCTGCATGCTGGCCATATAATTATCACTTTCTTATCAATATTCATCATCTTTGAACTTTTAATTTCCAATAAATGTATCTTATCTTTCTAATAATTTTCCAGACAAACCTACTTTCACAATTATTGCCTTAAAGGAAAGCTCCTACATTATGTGTAGTCAAGAAGACTTTTCTAATCACTTTTTCTCTTCTCTTTTTAACTTATTGCAACATTGAGACATTTGAATAACACTGTCAGTGTTACAGTAACTTCCACACCTATGTAGCTTCATTTGTTTCCTCATTATAATGCTAATGGATCTGTCTGTGCTGATATTTTCTTCTCCAAATCAAGAATATATTCATAAAGGAATTCCAACCGGTTTGGATCCTTCACTCTAGTTTGACAACTGCCTTCCCCCTTTTACCTTTAACAACTGATTAAAATTCACATATATATACAGATATATATACACATAGTAATTTCATTTATATATATGTATTACCACATATATATACAAAAATGCTAAGTGATGATAACCTTCAATTACCCTGCTAGTGCTCATAAAAAAACCATGGGCATTCATTAAGTGAAATTAAATACGCTTTTCTTTTTAAAGCATAATAGGATGAAGACAACAGTCAAAAGATTAATTTGCAATGTTGCCACTGTTGATGGAGAAATCTATGGAAAATTTTGCTTAGACAGACAAAGACATAAAGTCAAAACCTTCACATGCATTTTTGATACTAGTAATATCTAAGTGCGAGAAAGATATTAATCCCTTTAGTAATTGGATATTTAGCAAAAGGAGGATATTTGAGAGAAAAGGTTCAATACTGAATTTTACTGGTATTTATGAGGAATCTTTTAGATACGCAGGGAAAAAATGTAAAATACACTGTAGAAATTTTGTCGCTGAGGGAGAAGTGAAAAGCCACGTGATCATACAAACCTTTTCCACCTGTATTGATTAAAGACAGTACTCTAAAAATTCTTAGTTGATTGATGTTTTTCAATAAACTGACTTTGAAAACTTTTCATTATAGGTGCTTAAAAACTGTCAAAGTTTGTCTTATTACTGCTTTTTATTGAACATTATGCATAGGGTGTACAATAAGACACAGAGGCATTTCCATCCTAAACAGGCAACACGCTTGTAGTTTGGACTAACCATTTTAGGCAAGATATACTGTAAGAAAAAGTCTAGAAGTAAAATCCCAATCAGATTGGTTTCAGAGTTCATGATGTGCTTGCAGAAAGAAGTTAAAACTAGCTATTCAACCTCTTAGACAAAAATGTATTTTATGAAAATAAATGTCAAGATGACAAAAGTATTCAAGACGATAATTTAATAATGAAGTGTTAATGTAACAAATAAAAAGGCCTGCTCCTTCCCTGCATATCATGTTAATGTCTGCTGAATATCAGAAGAGAGAAATTAACCTTACATCTGTGTAGTTTTTTCTGACTCTTCTCAGAAATACCTTATTTAACTTAAAATAGGTGATATTTCCTAGCTGCTTCTACAATAAAAAAACCCACAACCCTCTTCACACAAGGCAAAACCAAAATTTCAGGACATCCACAGATCAAAAAAACTTTTTCTTTTCCAGTATTTGATGGGTAGTGAGACCTTATCAGTCTTGCTGCCCACCAAATCAGCCTTTCTTTTTTCAGTTTGATCTTTTGGCTTACTTTCTTGAAATGGTCCATGGCAATTCCTTTGGAAGACAGTGATTGGTGCTGATGAGAGAATGCATTAATTGCAGGCTGGCCTAACAGATAACATGATCAGCAAGCTATTCAGGCCAAGGAAGTTATTTTTGCTTTCCAATGGAATTCTAATGAAGAGGAAAATGTCTTACTGACCACACGTGCCAAGAGATCAGTGAATTAATATGTTAGCCTGGTGGGACATTATAACTGCTGTTTATATTTTTGTTGTCTTTTTTATAGTAATAAAAGCAAAGAGATAAGTCCATAGTAAATCATGAGAGTGAAAATGGCGCTAGTTAATTATTTTTTATTACTAGGCATTTTGGCCTCCCTTCATTTGAGATAGGAGCATTTCTTTGCCACTGCCAGCAACTGGTGTTATAGAAACTGTTCTGAAAATGCCCAAATTCAAGTGTTATCTTCAATTGCTGAATGTGACAAACCACTTCCTTTCTGTGACTTTGGGAGGCAAGAGTGAGATAAAAGTATCTAAAAATCTGAGTAATTGTAGTGCAGATGAAGAACTGAGAATCAAGGGCAAATAAAAATGTACCTAATTGTTTATTATGTTTTGTTTATTCTAACTTCATTTATACATACCCATATAGTTGTTGTTGTTGTTGTTATTGTCATTCATTTATTATGATTTGTGGACATTCTCATGAAGAAAGCAGTGAACAAAACAGTAATACCCTCTCCCTTGTGAGTTACACTCAGCACAATTCTATATTAATAATTCCATATTAATAAAGTTGGACCAGTGACAGGGAACTGAGAAATATGTTGACTGGCTGAAGATGTGGTGTAAGGTAGGTAAAAGCACTTTTTCTTCCTCAAAACTGTCCTCTTGAAGGCAAGTTTACAGCTTAGTCCTATACATATTTCTCTCCTTCTACAAGGAAGTATTTTATTCCTTCTGATGAATCAGATTTCTCTGTTTCTCCTTATTATGAGTTTCTTAAAGAGAAATCCCCATTATGTAATAGTTGTGAAACACAACACATGCATACCTAATTAACTGGTTTAATTTACTAGACATGTGCTCTGTGATAAGTAGCCTACCACAAAATGGTCATATTTTCAACTGTTGTGCTATATCAGAGAACAATTAATGGCATTACTGTAGTATGGGAACAGACTATGTTCCAAACAAATCTTTGATCAATTTACAGTGTAGTGAGCTTTACCCTGAATATTTTTATTCATGCTTTGTTTACATAGTTTTCTAAAATATATACTGATCCTTTTGAGGAGGTGTGGCTGTTATCCATTCTTACTATGGTCCCTAGCAACTAGAACCTCAGA